TGGTAAGAAAATCTCACACGACTACTCAAAGAGTTGACAATCAGCTCACAAATATGGAAAGTAAATTGAATAGTATAGTGGAAGTTCAAAAGGAGCTGAAGCAGATGTTAGAGAAATATGAGGAAAGAACGTTTTCAATCGAAAGAACAGCCTATCAGGTATTTTAATATGTACTGCCATTGAAATGATAAAACTTTACTGCATGAACTCTGGTTTCAGTTTAACCTATTATGACTTTTATGATTGAATTTAGAGTATTTTTGAAAGCTTTTAGTGATAATTCCTTTGTGCTAAGTCAGCAAGTTTTTCCAAGATTTAATTAATTAACATTAGGCCACACAATTTAATTAGCCTTAAACACCTCTTTTACCCTCGAATTCTTGTATTGTGTAGGCACCTCTTACAAAGGCATCCACAAATATGTTTTGCACCTCCTTGTTTTGCTTTCCTTCTGAAGATAGTGTATTGGTAACTGGTATAAAATCATAGTGAGCTACAAGTATTAATGGTAATTTAGAGAATGGTTAGATCTACTATAAGGAACGATGTGGAGACAAGACATTTGCTTGATGTATGTATCAAATATGTCACTTCTCTTGCATCTACTTTCAAAAGTGAAGAGAGACGTAGGGTAATTTGCTTGTAAATTTTATTTTAATTTTTACATGCAAAGCAGGTTTTTCAACCAAAGGGAAAGTATAAAAATCTAGACACTAAATCATTAGCCAGAATGATTATGGGGTACATTAAAGCAAGTAACGAGGTCTAACCAAAATATGTACGTCATCTAGCACTTGTAAGTAGTACAACTCTATACTATCATAAACTATCAAATTTTATAACTATTAATTTTTATAGCATAAATATGCTAGAGATACACCTCAAGTTTCAGAGAAGAAAAACTTTTATAATTTATTTAAAACATGGGTTAAAGATCAATATTCCACTCCAACTGGTCAACTTACAGAAGACCAATGGATAGTAGTCATGGAAGATGCTTCGGACACTCTAAATCCATCAACTGAAGATGATGAGGCAAATGAGCATGTGCATGATGATAACGATGATCAAATCTGTGAAGATAATGCCAGGTCACCAGGGGATCATGATGGCTTCTACAATTTTGTTTAGAACTCATGCTCAATCACTTGTTTATCATAATATTCCAGTATCTTATATTACATGCATAATGTATCAAGCTTGGTATGCAATCATTGAATTTAAAAGATCTTTTTGTCATTTACTGACAGTCAGGTCTGACCTCAGCTTTGAGTCAGGTTGACTGCTGATCACAAATGAAATCAACCATATGTGATTCAGACTTGGTTACAGGCTTGATTTTGTGCTCTTTGACACAGATGAATCTTAATGATAGCAATCATTTGTGGCTCATCAGTGGCCACACTCCTGATCCAGCAATGATGATCATCATTATAGAATCATTTCTGAAAATTACTGGGTGTGTACTGGATGGGTTAAAAGTTCGTCAATTCAAGCTGGCCACGAAAATAAACGAAAATTAATCCGCCATGGAAATTACCACGTGTACGGTACATATCAAAAATCTCACCTTAACACTTCAAAATTTACAAAATGTAGCAAAAAACAATGACATCAATAACATGTGGTTACTTGACTTGTGATTAACAAATGGATCTGATAAACAAGTAACAACAACTGATAAGTGAGCATAAACACAAATAAGCTGGATGGAGAAGGATAAAGAGAAAGACAAAGACGAGAAACACGAGTGAACAGAGAGAGAGAAATGTGTCAAAAAATAATTAATTAGTAATGAATAATAATAAGTAAATATTAATAATAATGAATGTATATATAATGTGAGCATTGCTGCTACAGTACTCCCCCTCCAGTGACTAACGTATTAGGGATCCAATTGTGAAGAAAAATGAACATGGCGACCAGAGCGAGTACAAACTGTTGGAGAACTGTCAGTCGTAGGAGTAGCTGGGGAGGAAGATTGAGACTGAAATGGTTCTGAAGGAGGAATCCTAGGTGTATTGAGATCTGCCATAGCGTTTTCTAAATGGGCTGAATTTAAACGATCGATAGAGACTGTGTCTCTGTGTCCATTGATGTCTAATGTAAAATATTTGTCAGCACTATCAAGAACCTTGTATAGACCACGATAAGGAGGCTGTAATGGTTTACGTATTGAGTCGTCTCTAACAAAGACATGAGAAGTGGAATTTAAGTCACGAGATATGAATGAGGGACGAGTAGCTTCTTTTGGAGGATGAAATGGTAAATGTGACATATATGATTTGAGTCGAGAACAGTATGAGAGAGGGTCAGAACTGAGTTTAGTCAGAGAGAAATATTCCCCAGGTAGTCGTAATGTTGTACCATTAACCATCTCAGCTGCACTGGATCCTATATCTACCTTGTAGGCAGAGCGAATACCCAGAATGATGAAAGGTAAAGCTTCTGTCCATGTACCTGGTTTAGGATGAGATCGTAATGAAGATTTAAGTTGTCTGTGTAGACGTTCAATCATACCATTGGCAATGGGATGGTAAGCAGTAGTGTGAATGAGATTACATCCTAATAGTTGTGTAAGATGCTTCCATAGAAGTGATGTAAATTGGCGACCACGATCAGTAGTGATCGTTGAAGGAGTACCAAAATGTGATATCCACCCTTTTAAGAAGGCTTTGGCTACTGTTTCTGCCTCAATATTTGGAATAGCTTCTGACCATCTTGTAAAACGATCAATACACGTCAGAATGTAAGTGTAACCATCAGAAGGCGGAAGCAGCCAACAATATTGATATGAACACAGTCAAATCTAGAGTCAGGATGAGAGAAAACACCAAGTGGAGTAACATTGTGCCTATGCACTTTAGACTTCTGACACTGTAAACATGTGCGAGCCCACCCATGTACATCAGAATTAATATTAGGCCACACATACCTATCTGTGATAAGTTTCTGACTAGCTCTAATACCCAGATGTGAAAGCGAATGTAGTGAGTCAAAAACTAACTTTCGAAATTGTATAGGTACCAGTGGGCGGGGTAAACCAGTAGATATATCACAGATAATAGTGGCATCTGCAGTAGGAATAGGAACTGTAGTGAATTGTAGAGTAGTGTTAGAGGGATTGGAAATGAGTTTTTGAATTTGGGGATCTTCCAACTGGGCTTAGGCCATCTTTACAAAATCAATGCTTTCTAGGAGGGCATTAATTGGAATACGCGAAAGTGCATCGGCTACAAAATTATCAGTTCCTTTAACATGGCGAATGTCGGAAGTAAACTGAGAGATATAAGTCAAATGATGGATTTGACGTGGAGTGCGATTCTTGCAACTAGAAGTGAGAGTATGTGAGTGGGCGGTGATCCGTATAGACATAAAAATTACGTTCTTCTAGAAAATAAGAGAAATGTTGTATAGAAGAGTATATTGCTAACAACTCTCTATCAAACGTAATGTAGTTGCATTCTGTGGCAGTAAGTTTCCTAGAGAAATATGATAAAGGTTGCCAATGACCATCAATTAGTTGTTGTAGCACCGCCCTTATTGCTAGATCGGACGCATCAGTCATAAGAGAAGTAGGCGCATTCAGTACAGGATGAAACAGTAAGGTAACATTGGCTAGAGTGTCCTTAATATAAGTGAATAAAGACAGAGCAGCAGTCCATTGCAGATCACCTTTTGTCTTAGTTGATGGCAGTAATGAATGCAGTGGTGACAGAATCTTAGCGCATGATGGAATGAATCTGTGATAAAAGTTCACTAGTCCTAGGAATTGGCATAATTGCTTTGGAGTGGTTGGTTGAGGATAATTACAAATTGCATGAACTTTGTCCTCCAATGGGCGGATACCATGTTGATCAATGTGATAACCTAAAAAAGAAAGAGAAGGGTTAACAAATACACACTTATTAGAGTTTATAACAATTCCATGTTTTTTGAATCTAGTTAGTATTGCAGTGAGATGAGAGGTATGTTCCTCTCTAGTACTACTAGCGACAAGTACATCATCAATATAGGCATAGCAAAAAAGAAGTCCATGAAGGACATCATCAATAAATCTTTGAAATGATTGCGCTGCATTGCGAAGGCTGAATGGCATTCGAACAAATTCAAACAGACCAAACAGAGTCGTGACAGCGGTTTTGTGAATGTCCTCCGGGGCAACAGGTATTTGATGAAATGCTCATACTAATCTAGTTTTGAAAATACAGTTTTACCTTGTAGAGTAGCTGTAAAATCCTGAATATGCGGTACAGGGTACCTATCAGCTGTAGTACAAGTATTGAGGAGGCAATAATCTCCACATGGTCTCCAGTCAGTAGAGCACTTTTTAGGGACCATGTGTAGTGGTGAAGATCAGTTACTTGATGAAGGTCTGATAATCCCAAGCTGTAGCATGTGATCGAACTAGGCTTTAGCAGTTTGAAGCTTCTCAGGAGATAGTCTTCAAGGACGTGCGGTGACAGGAGGTCCTGTAGTGAAAATGTGATGAAAAGTATTATGTTTTACAGGAGTGTCACTAGTGGATGGTTGAGTAACTTCTGGATATTGCCGAAGGAGAGCACCGAATTCGTCTTGAAAAGGGGGTTGATATGTATGGAGCTGAGTAACATCAGGAGGTTCACACAGAGAGAGTCCTTGAACTTGTAATTGTGTGACAGAATCAATAAGATGCTTGTTGCGCATATCAACTAAGAGATTGTGACTCTTAAGAAAATCAGCTCCAATGATAGGTTGTCTTACATCTGCAAGGATAAATACCCAACGAAATGGACGGCGAAAACCAATGTTCAATTTAAGTGACCTTTGACCATAAGTAGGTATGACTGAATTGTTTGCAGCCTGTAGTGAGAGACTGGTTTTGATGCGTAGTCGTTCGGGAGTAGGAGGGAGGACACTAATTTCAGCTCCAGTATCGATCAGAAAACGAAAACCTAAAAAAAGATCTGACAAGTAAAATAAGCGACTATTATTGAGTTGGCCAGGGTCACTGGTCGCCATCAGTGCCTGGCCTGGTCGTTTTCTGACCAGAAGCAAGGTGGTTGACATTTCCTGGCAGCAGCCTGAAATCGACTGTGGTACCAGCAAAGTGTAGTACTCTGATGTTGTGTAGTGACAGGGCGAGCTGGACTAGAGCGACGAGAGTGATGAGCTGAACGGGATGCTGTCTTACGTTGTGACGACTGCTTTTGTTGTGATTCAAGTAGTGTCTTGAGAGCAGCAATTTCAGCACTGAGTTGCTCAACTTCAGTAAAAGTAGCCACAGTGGATACTTGCGGTGTGGAGACCTGAAGTATCTTATCAGCTAGAGTGGCTAGTTTATCTAAGTCTTCATGAATTTCATCACCAGAGCCAGCCAATACCATACGAACATTATGTGGAAGTCGTTGTAGAAATAACTCTCGCAGAAAAGAACCGTCAGTAGATGCTGCTTTATCTCCTAGTAGTTGTTGCATTCGACGGAGCAATTGAGAGGGCTTTCTATCACCAAGCTCTTCTGAATTAAATAATTGTTGCAGATGGCGTTGTTCAGAAGCAGCAGTGCGCTTCACCAACTGTTTCTTGAGTGTCGTATTGAGCAAAAGTAGGAGGATGGAGGATGAGGTCACGTACTTCCATAGCATATTGTGGAGAAAGAGAAGCAATGACGTGTTCAAACATGGTCTTCTGGGAAGTAATTTGTCTTGTGGCAAATTGAGCTTCTACCTGCGCGAACCAAACAGGAGGGTCCGCTTCCCAGAATGGTGGTAGTTTGAGTTGGACAGAAGAAATGTCGACGGTAGCAGCAGGAAACAGAGGAGCAGGAGTAGTCGACCTCGGAGGTGTTGAAGGGCACGAACGAGACATAGTTCGGGTCACCAATGTGGTTACTTGACTTGTGATTAACAAATTTATCTGATAAACAAGTAACAACAACTGATAAGTGAGCATAAACACAAATAAGCTGGATGGAGAAGGATAAAGAGAAAGACAAAGACGAGAAACACGAGTGAACAAAGAGAGAAATGTGTGTCAAAAAATAATTAATTAGTAATGAATAATAATAAGTAAATATTAATAATAATGAATGTATATATAATGTGAGCATTGCTTCTACAAACAGTTGCAAGTATACTTCAATAGTCTTCCTGTTCATCATCTAACTCATCTACCTCATCGCCATCCAGAAAAATGTCATCATCTTCATCATCAAGAACCTCACATATTGACACTTCAAATGGTTCATTAAGCCTACAATCAATCAAAAATTACACTAAAGGATATGTATAATTTAATTAAATTACCTTATGTCAACTTGATTTTTCTGCAAATATACCTTCCACACATTATGAACAAACTGGTGTGTCTTCTCAACTAATGTCTTGAATGATGTACACCTATCTGGTCTTCGAATGTCAAAGATATACCGCTCACTCGTATGTGGTTTTTTAACATTTTCGTTTTATGAATGTCAACTTTAAAACAGTATTAGTAAATACCAGTCTTACCCAATCCATAACTGTGATAATCATTCTCATTCTGAAGGTTGTAGTACCAAAATGAATCCTTTTAGGGAGATAACTGAGTAGTTGATGATTGAAAGACTCCACCAAAATGTATCCTGACACTATGAAACATTATAAAGTAATGTAGTCTAAAAATACTTACTGAACAGTATGATTCAGCATTTACATATATCAAGGTTAGCTTTAACTTCCTAGTGTATGCTTCCACTGCATTGGTGTCAGTTATTAGCTTCTTTGATGGTGCATACCCAGGACGTCTACAGCTGGAGGACTGATTACAGTTGGAGTGATTACCCTATCACATACATTCATTTATGGACACACTAATACTAAAAATATCTAACTTGATAATGATCAACAATATTTGTTTTTGAGTCGCAGAGTCTTTGGAGACTTATTGCAGTTCTTCATACTATAGTACAGATGTGTCTTCATACTCTTTCCTATGTTGCATATAATCATACCATTATCCCTTACTCTTATTTGACAGTTTTGGATACCAAGTTATACCTACCCTTTTCTTTGCTCCTGTTGCTATAGATGTCATTGCTTTTGCTACATTCTTAGTCCCTACAAGCATATAGTAAGAAGAAAGTAAAACTAGCTATAGTCGGTTTCAGTTGAGAAGAAACACCACCACCCATTATAAATTTTTTGTCACTAATGCTAGCAAATTGAAATTTGGTATAGCTGCATCACGGGTTCTTCCGAAAATCCTTACCAATTTTTGAGTTTCAAGGTACTCTGGAAGGTTCTAAATGGGTTCTTCCGCTTGAGATGAAAGGAGCTGCCATGACGAATTGTGTGCGTCACTCAGATGAATATCATTTGCATCTCATTACATTTAGTTAAAAAATGATGCTTTTATTTTAAAATAAAACAAAACATATCAAGCTCTCTAGACATACTAATATTCAACCAGGAGCTTTCTCTTGAGGATAATTCTTGCTCTATCACTCCACAGCCTCCTGAATCTTAGTTGTTCTTCATTGCCAGTACACTTGTTGATTCACCCGTATTCCGAGGTCTATATCAGCTAAAAACACGCACAAAAACAAGAAAAGGATAGATGGAGGTAGCAGCAACCACTGTAGAGGTGCAATAAATAGTAAAGTAAGTAAAAGGAGAAGAAACGCTCAAAGAATGATAGAACTTGCAGATCGCAGCCATGTTTGGGTGTGGAAACGTGACGTTTTAATGACAAAAATATTGATTTACTTCCGTTTCTTCTCAGTTGAAACCGACTATACTTGCCATGTGTCACAAGAGTTTTTTAGCTTTAACTCTTCAACATTATATGATGTTACAGGTGGTGAATTGTCATGAGCAACCTCTGTAACATTCAATCCTATTTTCAGATTTGATTAAACAGTTCATTCACTTCTTTCAGTACCTTTTCATATTACTAATGGCAATAATTCCTTAGTACAGGCAAGCTCCCTTGTCTGTGCGCAAGTGTGTTCTTTTCTGGTGTGTTCTTTTCTGGAAAGTGTCACACAGCCTACAATCTTGTGGATAATGAAAAATTGATGTACAAAGTAAAGTAAAATACACTACAAAATACAAGTACCTTTTAGAAAGACACGGCACAGTTGTATGGTAGGCATTAGCAGTTGAGTCATGCCTAGCATCAGTGATGACCCACTACAATGAATTTAATAATGTACCATTATTAATATACTGTACCTCTCCATCAGTCTTATATTTAGAGGTTGACTTGATTTCATCAATTGCCTTCATCATTGATGCTTCAGCACAACTTTCAATAGCACCTACATACCCCTTTGACTTACATACTACTGTAAACACATTTACAATGCTACAGTGAAGTATAAAACTAAATTACCTGAAGCAGTGTACCTATTCCCAACTATACCAAGCGATGCAAATCTACAGAAATGGTAGTACTGTGATGGGAGCATTCCAGCACAAGTAAACGCATGTATGAGCCTAAAGTAATAATAATGCCATTACTTTGCATTGCACTTTATACTTACTTCTGATTAATTAGGTATCTACTGCCTAATAGATTTGAGCTGGCACACCATTCCTTTCGATTGCATGACTGACATTGAAATTCAGCATGAATCACGTGACCAAACTATAACAATAATAACAATAAAAATAAATTATGAAATAATACTCTAAGATACCTGTCTGTAACTGATCATCTGTCTGTCGATCATGCCACACGTACACCAACGTGTCAGTCCCAAAACCAAATTCTCAAAAGCAGATTTCTGACACACAAACAATGGCTGCTCTTCATCCCCATCACCAGTGAATATACCTTATTCAATATCATCACTAATTTAAACATAATATATCTACCTGAGTTATTCAGCATAGCAGAAAAACTACTTGTGTTGTGAGACTGAACATCAGAGTCCTCCTTTTAAGCTAGATCGAGCAAGTGAGACTGCAGTTCCATGTTGTCAACAGGCCGTCTCCACTTAGTAGCTAAAGACCCCTTAACTCGAGCAAGCCTAGCTATAAAATGATCATTGTCTTCCTTTTGACCAAAATTCAGCTCCATTTGGAACCAAAAACCCTCTCTTCTAGCGCGTTTCTTCATAAAACCAACAGCATCTGGAACAGACATTTTTTTACATGTGTAAAAACGGAAACCACCATGCCCAGGGCACCGCCACAAGACTCTAGGATTTGCAGGCATGAAGTAAAGATTATTTAACTAAATGCACTGAGGTCACAGTGATAATAAACATTACTGAATTTCTTTTGTGGAGCTGCACTGCTTGGTGTTATATATTCACGCCAATCTTAGTGCTGAATACAAAGATCATTGGGTGGCTCCAGTGGTTTCTTATACTTATTCTTGCAACCAATAGAAGAAGTAATATTACCAGTAATGAAATGAAGAGTATATGGGTAAGTAGTCAACATCTGTTGATATTCACAAGAAGGGCTATAATAAAGTGCACAAACATAAGAACCAGTGCCATATGACTGCTGCTCACACTCCATTGCTGCCAAGGATATCTTCCAGAAAAAACAGTAGAATAGTACGGTGAATTATGAAGCGATATAATTACCTTCCTCCACAAAAGAATCTGCAGTCACTTTCCCGACATGCCCAACATTGATTTCAATTCGCCTTGAGATTTCTTCATATTGCTTCTTTGATCTAGACGGTACGCCTCCTTTACAACCATGCCCTTTTGGCATACCAGTAGCTAGTAGTCAAGCCACATTTGGAACCTTCTTTTGCTTTCCTTTTGCTGATTAAAACTCAGAGAGTTTACCATTGACATGAGCAACTGCAGCACAATGAGAACAAGTTGCCATTGCATTCCAATCACGCTAATTAGAGTCACAACTATATTCACCATTTTTTTAGGTACAACCATGTAAGGCACCCGGCCATTATAGCTAAGAACTATTGTCGCATTTTATGACTGCACTGGTGCTGGTGTCAATGATCTATCAGTGATGATGAGCTTGTTTGCTTTGCTCCATAATCCCTCAAGATGTGATACGGTTATGTTGAGTTGTGCTGCCGTAGTTTCAACATGAATAGATAGCTCATGTAAAACAACTACAATTTGTGATGGTGAAAATGACGTAAGAGTTTTAACAGTGACAGATAGAAGCTTTAGTAAGTGCTCCTTTTTTGTTGTGAACTCAT